AATAAAATACCACATAGACAATTAGACATTCAATTATTATTGTCAAAAATTTTAATAGAATTTTAAGTAAAACTTAATTTTTTTTAAAAACTTTTCACAATTCAATGATTTTCAATATCAACTATTTTCATAAAATTTCGAAATAGAATTCAATTATTTAAAAATTTTTTTTGTAAAAATCTTCGGAAGAAATTAATTCTTTTTATGAATAATAAAAATTTCTCTGAAATTAAATTATTTAAATTAGAATTTGCATAACATTAGTCAAGAGAAATCAATTATTGAAAAAGTTTTTATGAAATTCTTCGCAAGAATTAAATTATTTTTATAAATATTTATAAATTCTTTTATGAATAACAAAATTCGTTGCAGGAATTCAATTTATTAGCATGATAAGAAAGAAGTAAATATTTTTGATGAAAATTAGGAAAAAGTCAGGTAAATAAAATAAAGAATGAAATTTTTGTTAGTTTTTGTGAAGTTTCTAAAACGAGTTTTTTTTATCGTCAAGTTTAATTTTTCGATAGCTACTTTTTTACTACATTTTTTAGTTTGAAAGCTACCCTTAATAAGAAATGTAATTTTGTAACCCCAGGGGCTTTGCATTTATTATATTATATAAAATTTAAATATACCGCACGCTTCACTTTCAAAAAATACTTTTTCAAAAATTTTTAATGAAAGCAACTTTTTATTGGTAACACGTTAAGACATTTAAATATACAAAGTCATGATGCTTATACCAAGCTGTATTATTAAATTTTTATTTTTTTCTATAAATAAAAATTTGCATACTACAATTTATGGATCAAGATTTCTTTGATCGTGTAAAAGAGATTTTTTTCTTGACACATGAGACAGACTAACTACTATGGTTCAGTTCATCAAGTAAACAAAACGGAACACTTATATACCTATATAGTTTCCACTCGCGTGTCCGTAGTCCACATTTTTTATTCTCCTATATATATAAAAAAGCATCCCCTCTGCACATCTTTATTCCATTATATTTTCTTCAAAATCAGACAATATTTTTTCTGAAATTTTTTATATACAAAATTTATTTTTAAGATGCGAAGAAAAACAGGAAATAATTTTTTATTACCACTGTTTTTTTAAAGTACCAAATTGATACCAATAATTGGGATCAATTTTTTATTTGATCCACATTTTTTATATCAATTTGTTGTAATTTGATGCTTTTAAGTTAACAGTGGTATTTTAATATTGAATTAGATTTTAAATATACTATTTTTATTAAAAATTATTATTCTTTATAAAAGAATAAATTTTTGGATTTATTCAATTATTCAATTATTTAAAAAAAAAAAATTAAAATTCTTCTTATAAAATTCAACTATGTTCAAAATTTGGAAAAAAATTCTCTTCAAAATCCCAATTATCTTATTGTAAATAACAAAATTCTTCTCCAAAGTTCAATTATTTTCATAAATGTCAAAAAAATTCTTGTCCTAATTTCAATTATTTTCAAAAATTTTTCTAATTTCAATGATTTTCTTTATGAAGAAGAATTTTATTAAAATTGTTTAGAAAGTGATTGAATTCTTGCTAAGAATTCTTTTCAAAAGAATTAAATTTCTCCAAAGGATTTTACTATTTATAAAAATAATTGAAATGTTTCGAAGAATTTATTAAAATTTTAAGAAATAATTAAATTGTTATGAAGAATTTTATGGAAATATTTGAAAATAATGAAATTTTTTCGAGAAATTAAATTAAAGTTGTTTCGAAGATAATTGAATTTCTTTAAAGAATTTTATTAAAATTAAGTATGTATATATTCAAAATAATTGAATTCATCACAAGAATTTTATTATTTTTTGAAAATAATTGAATTCTTTCAATTTTTTTTTTGAAGAGAATATATTTAAAAATTGCATTGAAAGTAATTTAATTTTTATATAGAATTTTTTAAAAATATTTTGAGAATAATTGAATTATTTTTAGAAAATTTTAAATTCTTGTTGAAATTCAATTTTATGGGAAATTTTTGAAAATAATTAAATTCTTTCGTGTAAGTTTATTTAAATTGGATTAAAAATTATTTAATTCCTGCAAAGAATTTTAGTATTTTTGAAAATAGTTAAATTATTTCGAAGAATTTATTAAAATTTTAGGAAATAATTGAAATTTATGGAAATATTTAAAAATATTTGAATTCATCCGAGGAATTCAATTAAAATAATTGTTTTGAAAATAATTGAATTCCTTCAAAGAATTTTACTTTTTATAAAATTAATTGAATTCTTGCGAAGAATTTTACTATTTGTAAAAATTCAATTATTTTTACAAATAATAAAATTCTTCGCATTAAAATTGATTTGAAAATAATTGAATTTCTGCAAAGAATTTTACTTTTTATAAAATTAATTGAATTCTTGCGAAGAATTTTACTGTTTATAAAAATAATTGAATTTTTTCGAAGGATTTATTAAAATTTTAGAAAAAATTGAATTTTTTCGAAATATGTTAAAATTTTTTTTAAAAAAATTAAATTCTTCCGAGGAATTTAATTAAAATTGTTTTGAAAATCATTGAATTTTTGCAAAGATTTTACTATTTAAAAAAATAATGAAATTGTTTAGAAGGATTTATTAAAATTTTAGAAAATAATTTAATTGCAATATTGAGATGTAATTACCACTGAAGATGGTATATATATATATATATATATAAAACTTGAAAGATGGCAGGAATGTCACAATGACAAATCTGATCAATTAATCGCCGCATAGTTTGTATTTAATGATAGGAAAAATTTATCTCTTTTTCGAAAAGAAGAGAAACGAATCAATTACGTCACATTGGAAGCAAACTGGACGCGATTTATCGTGAACGTATGGCACACACTATATATATATATATATATATATATATATATATAAAAGAATAAGAAGAATAAGAGAGAAAAAGAAAGAGAGAGAAAGAGTTTTTGATCGAGGGTAATTTATCGCTGATAATTGATCGCCTTAGGTCTGATTTCTTGAGGACCTCTTTAATTTTCAAAACCGAAAAAAGAATTCTTCCTTCTCCGCATAGAATAAGCGTTTCACACGTAATATTCAAATCTCCATTGATATAGCTCAAGGGCGGAAATCTCTTATTCGTAATTTGCCCTAAAGCCTTTGCGTGCGACTTCATCAAATCCCACAACAAATAGCATGTTCTACAGGTGCACATTGTATATGGTTAAATGTAACCGAGCTAAATTAATAATCGTTTTAAATTTTGTCCACAATTTTCAACGCAGAAATTTGCCTCTCAGAAGAATTATATTCTTGTCCGGTTAATAATTACGGACTTCTCTATATAGTTTCTGCTTCTTTCTTTCCTTTTTACTTTTTTTTCGAAAAATCAAATTAGAGTTGTTTCTGCTTCTTTATTTCCTTTTTACTTTTTTCGAAAAATCAAATTGGAATTGAATATACAAAAATTGGTCAAAGATTGCCTATTATGTTTACAAGGAATGAAAATAGAATATTTAAGCTTTACTTTGACATAAATTTTAAAAAAAAAATCAAAGGTGACATGTTTTGAGATATTTAAGAAAAATATCAAAAAAGGTGTCTTTCAAACTTAATTTTTTTCATAAATTATATTATTTAAGAAAAAAATTTTTTTTGACCATCGTACAATATAAAATTTTTCTTTTAAAATCCAATTAATAGTAAATAAAGTTTGACTAAAATAAATAGGAGAAATACTTATTTAAAAATTTGCTTGCAACTGCATTTGTTTATGAAGAGGTAACTTTGAAATATAGAATGTCCCATAAATATTTCTGAAATTAGGAGCAATGTCAAAATATACTGATTATATTATAAATGTTTTGTAATATGGAGGCATCACAAAAGAATCTAATTTCTGTTTAAAAATATCAGAAGTATGTAATGAGAGACACTTGTGTGGGTGGCATTAAGTACTACATTATTAATATATATTGTTACGGATAAGAAAAACTACTTTACTTATTGAATTATGTCAGCGACATTTGTTTTAAGCCAACATATCAATAATGAGCTGCACTCCAGTTACGGAAGTGTATCATGACGGTGTTGTTACGTATATAGGATAATACGTAATAATATAGCAAGCTTGCAGCAATATTGCATGGAAAGTTTGCTAGAATATTATCTTTATTTTCATGAATAATAATATTCTTAACAAAGCATACAATTATTATTTCAAAAGTATAAAGAAATTCTTCGTAGAAATTCAATTATTTTCCGAAATAATAAAATTCTTCACAAGACTTCAATTATTTTCATAAATAACAATACTCATCACAAGAATTCAATTATTTTTAAAAGTAATAAAATTCTTCGCAGAAATTCAATTATTTTCCAAAAATAAAAAAAAAATTCTTCGCAGATATTCAATTATGTACGAAAAGTTTTTTAATTTTTCGTAAAAATTTCTATTTTCTTTATAAATAACAAAATGCCTAATTCTTAGTCAAAGACTAAGACTAGGGCTAGGACTAAGACTAGGACTCACACTAAGACTAGGATTAACACTAAGACTAGGACTAGGACTAAAACTAGGACTAGGATTAACACTAAGACTAGGACTAGGATTAAGACTAGGACTAGGACTAAGACTAGGACTAATTCTTAGTCAATAACTAAGACTAGGACTAGGAATAGGCAAAATTCTTAGTCAAAAACTAAGAATAGGAACCAGGACTAAGACTAAGACTATGCCTAATTCTTAGTCAAAGATTAAAACTAGGACTAGGCATAATTCTTAGTCAAAGATTAAAACTAGGACTAGGCATAATTCTTAGTCAAAGACTAGGACTAAGACTAAGACTAGGACTAAAACTAGGACTAAAACTAAGACTAGGACTAGGACTAGGACTAGGACTAGGACTAGGACTAAAACTAGGACTAGGACTAGGACTAAGACTAGGACTAAGACTAGGACTAACACTAAGACTAAGACTAGGCCTAATTCATAGGACTAGGTATAATTCTTAGTCAAAGACTAGGACTAAGACTAAGACTAGGACTAAAACTAGGAATAAAACTAGAACTAAGACTAGGACTAGGACTAGGATTAACACTAAGACTAGGACTAAGACTAGGCCTAGGACTAACACTAGGACTAGGATTAATACTAAGACTAGGACTAAGACTAAGACTAGGACTAAAACTAGGACTAAGACTAGGACTAGGACTAAGACTAGGAATAGACCTAATTCCTAGTCAAAAACTAAGACTAGGACTAAGAGTATGGCTAAGACTAGGACTGAAACTAGGAATAAAACTAGAACTAAGACTAGGACTAGGACTAGGTCTAGGACTAGGATTAACACTAAGACTAGGACTAAGACTAGGACTAAAAATAGGAATAAAACTAGAACTAAGACTAGGACTAGGACTAGGATTAACACTAAGACTAGGACTAAGACTAGGACTAAGACTAGGACTAGGACTAACACTAGGACTAGGATTAATACTAAGAGTAGGACTAAGACTAAGACTAGGACTAAAACTAGGACTAAGACTAGGACTAGGATTAAGACTAGGACTAGGACTAAGACTAGGACTAGGATTAAGACTAGGACTAGGACTAAGACTAGGAATAGACCTAATTCCTAGTCAAAAACTAAGACTAGGACTAAGACTATGGCTAAGACTAGGACTAAAACTAGGAATAAAACTAGAACTAAGACTAGGACTAAGACTAGGACTAAGACTAGGAATAGGACTAACACTAGGATTAGGATTAATACTAAGACTAGGACTAAGACTAAGACTAGGACTAAGACTAAGACCAGGACTAAGACTAGGACTAAGACTAGGATTAAGACTAGGACTAGGACTAAGACTAGGAATAGACCTAATTCCTAGTCAAAAACTAAGACTAGGACTAGGAATAGGCCTAATTCTTAGTCAAAAACTAAGACTAGGACCAGGACTAAGACTAAGACTAGGCATAATTCTTAGTCAAAGACTAGGACTAAGACTAAGACTAGGACTAAAACTAGGACTAAGACTAGGACTAGGACTAGGGCTAGGGCTAGAACTAAGACTAGAACTAGGACTAAGACTAGAACTAGGACTAAGTCTAAGGCTAAGACTAAGAATATCAGAATATTCTTTCGGTTCTGGGAAAAAGTAAAAATTTTGTCTGGAAATCAGGGAAAAAGAAAATTAAATTTCTGTAGCAACCCTGCTGATGAAATATCGCTGGTTTACAAAAAAAATTGTTTGCTATAAATATGAAACTAAACATCGGAGCTTAATAAAGAAATGGAAGGATATAATATTAAATGGAAGGATATATATATTAATAGATTGAATATAATGTGAATTATTATTGGAATCGTGAAGATAAATATTCTAAATGAAGGGGGATCAATATAGGTTTCGTGTCTGCCAAGATTTTAAATAGCAGAAAGATAGGTTCATTTCAAAGTGGATGTTGATAGGTGCTTCGCAGCAGAGCTCGCACTAATATGATATATCGCCGCAAAGTGCGTGTGCGATCGTGCGTGCAAACATACACACAAATATGTTTGTACACATGGATAAATTCTGGTGCACATACACACACAAATACACATATACACAAACTAGTTGTTTAATATGAAAATGGTGTTAGTGAGTGACCACCCACGGCGTGGCAGAGACCACCCAACGCGTCTCGCTGCTATAAGCCAAAGCTAAAAGGACCGTCGTCTCCACTTCACGGTTTATCTTGCGCATACTCTGCTCTGGCCTTACGGCACCGTCCTTGTCCTCGTCTGCAATAAAAAAAAGGAAAAGTTTGACCATTAAAATTATGCCGTAATGAAAGATCTTTGCTTTTTCCAAATCTTCTGCAACATTTCCAGAACAAATCTCTAAAAAAAAACTTTGTTTCCTTTCTTATTTCTTCCTGTGGATGCTTCCTTTGGAAAATTAGTTGGAACAGTTCAACTAAAATTCCAAAGAAAAATTGAGGGGGCGCATGATTATTCCCCAAATTTCAATTTTGATAATTTTCCAAACATCGAAATTCTTATTAGAGTTAAAATTTCTGAACTGGGCCATCTAAAATAAACTTTTTAAATTTGCATTATTCCTATTACATAATTTGTTCATAAACTGTATTTCGGGTTAGAATCTTCCAGTTATTTCTTAAACTGTTCAATTTGTCATAAGTAAAACATCTACTAATGATAAAAAATAAATTAATAAAGTATTGTTTTTATTTTTTAATAAATTGAACTTAAGGCTAGAATTTTCTAGATTTTTCTAAATACAATCAATTGAAAAATTAAAAACTATAAATTGTTTAAATAATGGTTGAATAATAAATTTTTAGTTTTTCAATTATACTTAAGTGTTTAAGTTTTAAAAATTTGCACATTTGAAAAAAACTAAGAAATTCTAGTTTTAAGTATTAGTAAATTGAAAAATTTACAAAATAAATTATTTACAGAATGTTTAAATAATTAATTATTAGTTTTTCTTTTATACTTGAATGTTTCAGTTGCAAAAACATGGCACAACCACAATACAGAAAAAACTATAAATTTCTAGCCCTAAGTACAGTTTATGATAAAAATAATAACAATTTATTGTTTAAACAATATTTAAATAAATTATTTTTAATTTTTTATCATCAGTAGATATTTTATTGATGAAAAGTAAAACAATTGAGAAGAAACTAATAATTTCTAGCTCAAAGTACAATTTATAAAAAAATAACAACAATTAATTGTTTAAACAATTTAGTAAATTGTTATACTTTTTTTCATATAACAACAACACTCAAACATTATTTTAATAAGGTTTTATGATTAATTTTCTTAATTAATGAGTCTAAAAAAATATTTTTCAAGATTTTAAGATTTTTTAATACCTACTTAATTATTGTTATTAAAAAAATGTTTAAATACAAAAATTCATAAATCGGACTTGTAAGATAGATAGAGAATTTGAATACGAAGATTTAGAAAAAAGAAAATTTTTTTAAAATGGTACTTTAAAGTTTAATTGTTTATAACTAATTGAAAAATTAAATTTTGTGAAATTAGTGTGAATGAATTTTAGGTTATGTAGTCATTCAAAGGATTAATAATTATGACAAATAATCATTTGGAATAATAAAATTTATGTCAAAGAATTTTTTGATAAATTAAAAATTATGTCAAAGGATAATTATTTAAATATATTAGGATAAAGAATAAATCGAATAATTAAAAAAGAAAGAAGAAAACGGAAGATGAGAGAAAAAAAAGTGGATCGTTGGTATGCGAGTAACATAGTTGAGGACTGTGAGCAACTTCCGCGATGACTAGCTGGGTGGTCCAATCGAAACTGCAAGCTGCGAGTTGTCGCGCACACACGCCTACAAAAGGACGCGTATATTTCAAGGTGTACATGTACACGTCTTGCTCGGCCTAAAATGTCCGATAACACTTTATACAGTTTATTCATTCGCGATAGCGACAATCTTCCTTTGAAAACCACTTTCGAATTGAATTATAAAAAGGGAAATTTTAAAAGGGCAAGCCTTTTGTGGTTCATTTTTTTTAACTGATTATTATTTAGATAATATTAGAAATAATGTATTGTATATAAATAGGAATTGATGCTGTAAACAAACTTGAAAAGAAATTTAAAACTTTAAACCTTAAATTTAAAAATCTTAAAAACTTTAAATATTTCATATATGCTTGCAGCGTTAAAAGCGCATAAAAAGCTTTATGCTACAGGGTTGCCACAGGTCAGGGAAATGAAAGAAAAATTAGGAATTTTTATTAAAGTACTGGAAAAATTGAATTTTGGAGAAGATATAAATTATTGCAGAAATTCAATTATTATCAAAGGTAATAGAATTCTTCGCAAAAATTCAATTACCTACGTTCAAAAAATTTTCAAAATTCTTGTAAAAATTTCCATTTTTTTTATAAATAATAACATTCTTCTCCAAAATTCAATGAATCAGAATATATTCTTTAGGGGAATAGTGAAAATTTTGTCTGGAAATCAGGAAATCAGGGAAGAAAAGAATTAATTTTTTTTTGGTAACCATATGTGCTAAATAGTTCAGAAACATATATTGTGTATAAAACATTGTGGTGACTAACTAAGTGGGTACATCTTATTTAAAAAAATAACCACAGCTACCGTTCTGTTGTTGATTTTTTGCAATTCTTTTTTCCCCCTTTCGTAAAAATTGAAATTCTGTATATGTACATGTTTGAAATTCTAGTGTGTTTTTTCTCTTTAGCACAAAAGTGCGATAACGTTATATGTATGTACCCATGTCTCGTTCGAGTGACAAGAGAAGATAATTCCACTTGTGTGGGACGCGTTAACACCGTCATGGAATGTATTTGAAGATAGTCGCTTTAATGGTGGGGGGTAAAGAGAATGAGAGAGAGAGAAAGACGAAAAGGATTATAAGTTTAAGAATACAACTTTGCCTGGAGATGATCGAATTAGGCAAATCCATCGCGCGAATTCGTGAGATAGAATCATGTCGATTTGATCGGGTAATTCGATTGTATATATATGTATATATAAGAAATGTGCGTGCGTCTCAGAAAAAAAAAATCTCTTTCAAGATAGCATTCACTTTTTCCATATATTTTACGATCCGCCATGTCCAATACGATTTCGTTGTCTCGTGGGTGGAAGAGGCCTTCGAAATAAAATTTACTGCTTGTTTCACGATAGAGGCTCATGTCTGATTTTTGTATTGTGATCATTCTCGCAGTTTGAAATCATTGTAAATTTCGGTATTCGTGAATTTTTTTTTTTTGTTGATCGACGTATTTTATGTACATACTTGTATACCGATTTATAATATATAGATCTACATGTGTTATCATTGAATAACTTCAATTTTTTGAACCGCTTTCATTGGAGAAGACAAAAAATTATGAAAATATTGTTCTAGGAGAAGTTTAGGACCTGTAAAATTATTTGTAGACAAAGAATTGTTAGTAAACAGAACACAATGATTGATGAAAAAATAATTTTTCATCTTCTGCTGATTATCGGCTGTGGTTACTTTTTATGAATAGTGAATTAAATTAATTTTGACGACCCAAATATTAATTGGCATTTGTTCTAGGAGTAGTTAAGAACCGGCAAAAGATTTGTAGACTAAGAATTGTTAGTAAACTGAAATTTTTATCAATAAATTTTTAAATAATTAAAATCTTTCGACAAATTTTGCGTAGTAATTACAAACAAAATTTTGTGACATCAATATCTCTGTAGACTTAAATTTTTTTTAAATTTTTAAAATTTTTTTAAACTTTTTTCACAATTAGATAATAGAGGTGTTTACCAGTTGATGTCAGTTTTCTTAAAAGCTTTAAATTTCCCAAAAAAAAAGGAAGAATATTCAAAGCACCATCAATTAGAAGCTCTTTAAAAAAAAAGACGAAATCATTCTCAAAAATTTCCGCATAAAGGAAAAATATATAATAAACATGTTTTTTTTTCTATTTTCTCCTTCGACATTCCATCAAAACAGTTCGTGTATAACTTTCATCTCCATTAAAAAAAATTTGACCCCCTTTTATTTCTTTCCTTCTGTATTTTGACATTCTGCGAATTGTCGAGGGAACATCTTTGCTCTGCATGTGATATTGAAAAAGGGCCGTTTACTCCACAGGAGCTCTTTCGCTTGGGACAATGGGGTCTGAAAAATGAAGGCCCCCAAAAAGATGAGCCCATAAGGGGCCATCGGGTTAAGTTGAGATGTGCGGCTCCCGCTGTATATAAACCCGGGCCCTTTGCGGATGCTGTAGAAATTCCGCCAAGTCAATCTCATTGGCGAACGGCAGAGGCGTTTTCAACTTGGGTGGTCCTGTCTTGCCCTATTCGCAAACAAGACAAGGTTAACGTGACGAAACAGGTATATAGTTACTATGATGCTGGTGAAAAATTCTCACACACACACACACATATACAGATATATACAACACAAGTGACTATGCGGGGGCTTTCTTGAAAAATTTTTCCCGGTCTAAGTCTCTTTTCTTCTTTTTTTTTTTTTCTCCTCTTTGAGAGGATCCATCTAAACCACTGTACTGATCTTTCTTCAGTAACGCTGCAATACAATAAATAACGTCGCGCCAATATATTTATCCTTTATTCTCGATAGATTTGTCCTGACCGCAAAACTCCCCCCTCTCTCTCTCTCTCTGTCTTATAAAGAGAGATGACTTTCTTTATACGATTACTTTTATAATGTACAATTCGCCTCGTCTATTTAACCCTTGGGAGTTTTTTTCCTTTTTTCTTCTCGTAATACTTTAGGAAAAGTTTTATTTTCAAAAAAAAAAAATGTAATTCATCTATGGACAAAAGATTTTGAGGTGGTACATTTGAATTGAATCACAATTTTCTTTCAATAAAAAAATGGGTCAAACAGTTATAATTGATTGAGCATTTCTACAAATTATTAAAAATTTTTCTAAAAATAGTCCTCAACGACTTTATGGTAAAATATATTTTATTAAAATAAAATATATTTGATAACTTATTAAAAAAAATGGATTTATAGAAGAATTTTAATTAAAAATCCTTTAAAAAATTGAACTTTGGAGAAGTTGTAAATGTTTGTAGAAGTTCAATTATTTTCAAAAGTTAATAAAATTCTTTGCAGAAATTCAATTATGTTCAAAAAATTTTTAAAATTCTCGTAAAAATTTCCATTTTTTTTTTATTTAATAATAAAATTCTTGTCCGAAATTCAATTATTTTTGAAAAATTTTAATAAACTTCTTGGCAAAATTTCAATTGTTTTTGAAAATTTTCCTCAATTGATTTATAATTTTTAATATCTACTATTTAAATAAAATTTTCCGAAAGAATTCAATTATTTAAAACAAATTTTCACAAAATTCTACGCAAGCATTTAATTATTTTCAAAAATGATAAAGATTTTATAAGAATTCAATTATTTAAAAATTTTTTATTCAATTATTTTTAATCGAATTCCTCGAAAAATGTAATTATTCATAAAAAATTTATATTAAAATTCGTCAAAAGAATTCAATTATTTCAAAATTTGTTCATAAAATTCTTTAAGAGAAAAATTCAATTATTTTCAAGATTTTAATTAAATGACGCATATTTTGATTTTTAATTGATCCTTAATATAATTATAATATTCAATATTCAATTAGATCCTAAAGCCGCAATTAATTGAATATTGGATATTTTATTAAAAAAATGTTTAATTTAAATTCTTCTCCAAACTATAAAAATCTCTAAATTTTTGAGGCACTTATACTACTTGCCTAAAGCTTGCACTATACAAATTTCCTGCAAGCTTACAGGTTAATTAAGTATTTTTTCCCGCAAAAGAAAACAAATTTTCCAGTCAAAATTCCAATACTATAATTATAATACTATATATATAGGGAACGTGTGAATAGATAGTCTTCAGGTATAGTGCGTAAGTAAAGAAAAGGAAAACATTTCCTTTCGTTCAAAAAGTCGCGTCATTTTGAAAAATATATATCCAACTTTTGACAAATGATCTTTCGAGGAAAACAAAAACCAAGAACTTAAATTTCTCAAATTACCGAAAAAGAAAAACAGGAAACATATTCTGAAAATAAGAAAAATCGACCATATAATATGTTTTCTGAAAATTATCCATTTAAATTCTGTATATTTTACCTAACTGTGAAAGCCAACCAAGACGGCAGTGTAGTGTTATAAATTTACACGTCAAGTGTTAAGAAAGAAAAAATTCACTTATTGAAAATTTTCCAGATTATCTTGAATATTTAAAAAAAAACAAGTCATTCCTCATTGTGTAGAATTTCATTTCTCGAATTTAACTTTCATTTTCACATTTCCATTTCCATTTTCCTGAAAAATAAAAAAGACAAACGTCAATTCTCGATTGGCATATTTTTTTACATGCCAACTGAGAATTGACGTTTTTTTTTATTTTTTGTTCGCAGTACAGAAAAATTTTTGAAGAAAAGTTTATAAACTATTAGACAAATAATTTTTTCATTGTTACATATATTTTTGAAACTATTTCCAGGTATTTTTGAGTCGTTCATTACGAATTTAAAGCCAGATTTAAAAAATTTCTAAAATTCAAAATGGCGGATCCAATATGGCGGACATTTTTTGAAAATTGGTCAAATTCGCTTGAAACTTGTTACTCGGGGGTTTTTGGGGACGCTGATTACGAATCTAAAGTCGGAATTTCAAAATTCAAAATGGCGGATCCAATATGGCGGAATTTTTTTTTAAAATTGCTCAAATTGGCCTGAAACTTGTTACTTGGGGGTTTTTGGGGACGCTTATTACGAATCTGGAGTCGGATTTTCAAAATTCAAAATAGCAAATCCAATATGGCGGCTATTTTTTAAAAATTGATGAAATTCGCTTGAAACTTGTCACTCGGGAGTTTTTGGGGACGCTGATTACGAATCTGAAGTCTGATTTTCAAAATTTAAAATGGCGGCTCCAATATGGCGGACATTTTTTTTTAAATTACTCAAATTGGTCTGAAACTTGTTACTCGGGGGTTTTTGGGGGCGCTAATTACGAATCTGGAGTCAGATTTTCAAAATTCAAAATGGCGGATCCAGAAAACTGCCGAGTAACAAGTTTTAAGTGAATTTGAGCTGTTTTGAAAAGAATTTCCTTAATTTTAAAAATTTGATTCTAGATTATCATAATCAGCGAGTTAGAAAACTTTTGATCCTTCTGCAAGTGAAGAAGGAGGAGATAGAGTGGAAAAAATGTGTAAAGTGAAAAAGAAGAGAAGAAAAAGGAATGGTTCAAAGAAGCAGAGCAGATGCTCTCGTCTCCTTCTTCCTTATCTTTTCTCACTTCCACCTTTCTCCTCCCATTTTTTTTCCGTCTCTCTCTCTCTCTCCCTCATTTCTTGTCTCTCTTTCCATCTACATTAAAACGTGTGCGCTATTTCCTGGTTGATAATTTACGTAATAAAAGCGATTTAACACCGTCGTATGTTCGCACACTATGAATAAGGATAGAGGTAGATGTGATATTGTTAGGTGAAAGGGAGATGGAAAGAGGCGCTTTGGCTCTTTTACAGACGACAGATACTTGTATCTAATTACTGACTCGGATAGTTTTCAACGTACATATAAGAGAGAAGTGCGCTTGGTCGTTACTGCGGCGTTTCTTATAGATCATTAATTCTAAAACAGACGCCTGGACGGCCAACGTATACACACGTGGAAGAACCGACTTACTAATTGCGACGACGTCGGTGGTCCCGACCGTGCCTATAATGAAAAGCAATATGGGCAGCCGACAATGCTTGTCTGATATGGGATTCTCTCTCTCTCTCTCTCTTTCTCTCTCTCCAAATCGAAATCATAACTCTTTTCTTTCTTCCCCCTCCACCCCTCCATACTATCCGCCAATGGCTCCTGTCACTAACCCTCTTCTCAACACTCCATCAATCCATCCTCTCCTCTCTCTTTCTCATTCACATATCTTCAGAGTATTTCTTTCTTTTTTCCTTTTCAATTTTCTGTATATAAAGAGCAGTATATGTAATACATTACATAATAGTAAAGGAAGTAACAGAATTATTAATAATTCTACCAGGAGTAACAAAATTTTAATAAATCTGAATGACATAGTCTTGAGTGTACCCCAAATAATCATAAAACGAGATTTTTTAATAAATTTCTTTTTTTGCTTTTAAAAAGACGTAAAAAAATCCTGAAAAAGTCCGTAACTTTGC